AAACATTGAGTTGGAGAACAACTTTGCTCGAGCACAGAGTATCAAGAAAACATGTAGGGGGCGAGAGGATCATTCAACCCAGCTGGCAGCAAAGCATCTATTAGCAGAGGTCAAGTTGGCGCACTCCAAAGACATTTTGAGATTGTCGAATAGCGAGTACGCTGAACCAGCTCCAAAACAATCGGCAGACCAACGAGATGATGAACCACATCTAGCGTTGACAACAACAAGCCCAAACACTTCGGAGCTACGCTGTTTATTGACTTATTTGGAGACATTTTAAACTCTGTTACATTTGCTTTCACTTGGTAAACTATCAGTCTTTCAAAAGAAATTACAAATTGTTAAATTCAATAATTCAACCACATAGCATTAACACTAACACAAAAATAAGTACTAGTGTGCACTCAAAAGACACAACAACACTCAAGACTCAAGACTCAACATCAAAAAACACAAGAAACCACCATAACTTCAGCTTGTTGTGTTATTGTTTACAAAAAACATATATTATATAGGTGTATATTATATATATATGATTTAACACAGGGTGTGATTCAAACTCACAAGGAATCTATATCAGGAAAGTTTGTAGCACCTTGTAACAGTGATCAAATGTTTAATTTAGTTCATGAGTACAGTATGGTTACAACTTTAGATAGACCTGCTCAGGTAGGAAACGCTGGAATGGCTATACTCTATATTGGACCACATCAATGGCAAAGAGGACAATGCTTCCAGGAGAATCATCAGAAGACTGCAGAACACGAATTATGATCAGCTGCAAACAGGAGTGGTCAGCAAATACTGATGAAGCTATTCAATTGAGACATCATTTTGCACAGCTTGCCAAAGAGAAGAACAAACAACACCAATACACCGCTCATGCAGGCAGTGCTTCTGAGATAGCACTTCAGGACCAAAGCAAATCTGATGTTCATGAGACATTGGCTGAGCGCTGCGGAAGTCATCTCCAATATCAATACGTTCATCCACTGCGGATTTGGAATGGCTATGGTGCGATGTCTGTGGGTGACAAAGACTTTGGGATATCAAAGGCGATCCTTGAGATTGAATGTGACAAGCCATCCTTTGTTTCATCTGTAAGTTCTGCTTGGCGAGTGAGAGCAGGTGGCACTGTCACTACCACCGATGTATTTTCAAGGCCCATGAAGCTGTCATGCTTTGAGGAATTTGGATTTTGCTGGTCGTCAGTGAAAGATCCCGATCTTTTTCGCAAAATAGAAAAACACCTGTTGCGCTTTGTGCAAGATCATCGAAAGAGACTCATGCACAAGAAGAAGAACATGGGTCCCAATGCTGAAGTGAAACAGCCCTTGCTCGTGTCATTCGATGGGTGGCTTGAACTTAAACATGTTGAAACAACGACAGTTCAGCAATGTAAATGTATATATACAAAACGATTTTGACAAGAAACATGCATAAGCTAATAGCAATGTAAAAACAAACTAGACTAACCTGAACATATATGGTTTAACATTAGTTTTTTTCAATAAAACAATAACAAAAACAACTATACCTGCTGCTATTGTTGCTGCTGCTACATATAATACTTCACTTGGTTAATGACTACTGAGACATTGATCATCTTTATTAGTGCTAAAATGGATGCTATGACTTTGACTACAACTACTATGGTTTATATTTTTATATTATCAACATATACATAATTATCAATATGTCTATGATTTAATACCATTACTATTCCTATTCTTACTTACTATAGCTAAATACTTATTCTAGATTCTATATTTAAACAATTTTATACTTAATTAAAACTAAAACCAAATACCAAATTCTTTCATGTCATATTTTGTGTTGCAATAACGTATTATTTATTCATATGCTTACACAATTGTTGGTTGTTCTTTTTGGTTATTGTATGTTTTGTTTACCCTTTGCCACTACATCTCCAACACTACAATAACATAAAATGTAAGTTGATCAGTGTTAGAGATATTGTTTTGTAACGGTGTGTCATTCAAGGTGCAATCTACAGCATTTACGTGTGTGGATTCTTTCAGCCTGTTCATTCTCGCCCTTCAATGGAGACTGGTGGGAATGTGATTTGGATATGGATGGACGCAAAGTGATAGCGTGTCCCAAGTGGAACGAAGAGCGTCCAGCAATAGTATCCTACCGTGAGCTTGCCAAATCAGTCTCAAACATGTTTGCTGGCTCTCAAGTTACGTGCAAGTGGAAGCTTCAGCTGGAGTACAAGGACAGAGTCAAAACTTTACACAGCATTTGCTTACTTTTCAAATATTGAACAATGTGTGCTATATCAAGCTTCAACTTATCACTGCCGTAGTTTGTAGTGTTTGTGTTTAAAGTTTAAAGTTTAAAGTTATGTTTAAGCCATTGACATTTAATTGTTTAAGTTTAAGCGCAAGCCAAATCATATTCCACCAGGTGGATGACAAACAAATTGACAAGATATACTTCGAGCTTGATGCGCATGAACATTCTGGGTGGGAAGCTGTTGGTGATGATGAACATTTGGAGGATAGTTCAGATGAAGAGACTCGTGCAACTGACATGACAAAGACACTGATGCAAGCTATTGGGAAGTCCAAAGTGGAACAGAAAAGCAATTCACATACCAAAGTGGTGGTGGGCAAGTCACGATCAGGCGCATCACATTTAGTTTATATTGTTTGCTGAGTTCTGCTTAGATGTTTTAAGTTTTATGTTTTTAAACTTAAAGATATGCTGAATTTCATCATTCACATAACTGATGTTACATATATATATAGCACGTTGATCACATGAACTTTGAACTCATAATGCGTTGCAGGTTGCAAGCGTAAGGCCAATCAAGATGATATTTGTGATGAGCACGTCCCTGTTGACCTTGATGCTGTGTATGATCCTGAACTTCAACAAAGTTGGGAAGCAGCTCATGTTGGGGTGGCTTGGTTTGTCGTTTTTGTGTGTAAGATCTTTTATTGAATTTGAAGATAGCAATGATTCTTGTAACTTATACATTAACTTTTTGGATATGTGTATGATTTTATTTTGTAATTGGTATCAATATATATATATATACTATGATGTTTTCTTGCAAATCACTATGTCTCAACAATCAGCAAGGAACATGGGCAGCCTGTTGTGCAGGACTGCATATCTCAAGGTGCAGCATCAACATCAAAAGCTTCATCATCATCAACATCGAAAGCTTCCAGGCCAAAGTCTTCCCAGGTACCTGATCGCGCTGAGATCGAGCTTCCATCATCTGGTCTTCGCATTGACGATAAAGGGAAGGTGTATGTCAAGGATAAATACTGTCCTATAGGCAGGGTTGCCAAAATTATGATTTATATATGTAAATCTATTTTAATATTGATATATATTATATATATATATATATTATATAGATTAGTGTTTGGCATTCATGTTGTCAGTTGTTGTTGATGGTTGAAAAAAGAACAACAGGGTGAAGAAAATCTTGTGTGAATGACAGGACGAATCACTGAATGGAAGATCAACACGTCAGCTCATTCAGTGTCCTTTGCGTGCTATCAGCATTCGAAATGCAAGATGGTCAAGCTCATGAATAAGATGCCTCCAGAGTTTCAGGAGACATGTGTATGTGTTTTAACATTGTTTTAAACATTAGATATTGTTTTCTTTTATAAAATACGTGTTTGTTGTTTTATTATGGAGATGAACCAATCACACACAATGAACGTCATACCGCAGGGAGATGCAATGCGATGGCTTTCTCTTGGGCAACAATGGTCAAACCGTGCTGATGGTCAGAAGCACATGGACTTGTAGTATGCTCAGTTATTCATGTTCTTGTTGCTCATCCTGCTCAGTTGTTTCTGCTTATCATTTTTTGTTTCTAAATAACTTAGGTTTGAATCGATTGTGATGAGGCAGCAAATCTAAATTATACAGCACTGCAATGCGGTGAACGAACCTAACTGCATGTTTGAGACATGGCTGGCTGTCCAAAAAAACATATTGAAATGCACATACTGATTGTACACAGTGTACATGTTGACTGCACATATGCATTGTACACACTTTTGTTAGCACAAAACCTAAAATTTGCTAACAAAACCCTAGAATTTGCTAACAAAACTATAGAATTTGCTCACAAAAGTGTGTACAATACACATGTACAATCAACACGTACATTGTACAATGCACATGTACAGTCAGAGGTGCAATGCATGTACAATGCTATATGATTATATGCGGTTGTGGCTTTGGCTGAAGCAACATTTGTTGTTGTGATTAGTAAGCCTTTGCCCGTGCATCATGTCGTCTGTGTGTTCAGACGGCAAGTGGGAAAAACATCTTCACCAGGGTTCAGGAGAAGAGCCTCCAAGTGCGCCAGATGGATTTGAATTGCCTGAGAAGTACCGTGTCAAACGATGCTTTTTCTGCAAGAATTGGAGCACATCACCTGCACCATGGGATCTGCGTGAGACTCCATTGAAATCTTGGTGGCCTGTTCTACCCTGGGCTCGGGGGAATCGAGGGAAGCCGGTGGCGGATGTATGCAAGGTGTGCATTATTGTAACTAGGCTCAATCAAAAAAAATACTTTATGTATACTATATTGTTTTTTATGGTTTACTTTATGCTTATGTTATGTTGTTTTTAATGTTTTGATATTTTTTCATATATATGAGTTGGTTTTAATATTTTTAATAATGATATTATTAAAAACATCAACCAGGTGTGGACACAGGGAGGATGGGAAGCAGAGTGGATTGCAGAGGAGAAGTTCAGGAAAGCGATTATTCAGAACCCAGCACTGTTGCATCCTTTCTTGGTGTTCTGGTAATGTTTAGTCTGATGTCTTTATGTTTTGTGTTCTTGAGGTTTGACTTGCAACTTCCAACACTATGTTGTGTTATCTTAAATAGATAATAAATACTAGTTACTATATCAACATGTTTTAAGTTTTGACTTCCAACACTATGTTGTGACAAAACTAAGGCTTGTCGTGTGAAGGTCATCAAGATGAAGGTTCAAGAGCCAGGAGCAAGGTTTCGTTTGGAGAAGCTTGGAATCACAAAGGATAAGGTGGAGACATCAGAAGTTGGCGAGCGAGGCCTTGAACGTCCAGAGGAATACTGGGTTGAATTGTCAACATATGAGGCTGATCCCTCCAACCCTGCAGTAGAGCCTAGCGACTACATCTATGAACTGGTCGATGGCGTCATGAAGCCTGGTGTCACGTGAATCAAATAGGGTATGTGTTTTGATTTTTTAATTGAGTCATTTAGCAAAGATTACAATTCTATTCCCTTCAACACATCACATCAAAGGTCAATGTATTGACTGGCAAGGCAGGGTGGCATCGCAGGATTCATAGGGACTACCACGCGGTTGCCAAACGTACTGAGTTGACAGATGACATTGAGATCGATGAGGGAGCTACATCCAAAATCCACAATGCGGCAAAGAATGTGGTACTCAAACGCAAGCTTGCTACGATTGCAATGCCTCATCCCAACAACAACATAGCATCAGGATCATCAAGTGTGGGACCACAATCCAAGACGGATACAGCCGAAAGTGCTGCACCAACAGGTGGGGGGGGGGAGAGAGAGAAAGACTCACTTATTCTTAGTAGATTTAAACAAAATAAACAAATACATTACAATACAATACACAACTCAACTGAAAAACTTACTATGTTTAATGTTTAATTCAACATATTGAAATTAAGAATATAGTTTTATGAAGTCTTCAACAAATCAACAACCAATCATGTTGCAGGACATGGTGGTGATGACACACATGAATCAGATTCAGACGCTGAAGAGAATGAGGCGTCTTTGGGACTGATTCAAGTTCTCAAGCAATATCATCCTGGTCAAGACAAGACATCATCAGGACCAGGAGCAAAAAGTAAAGCAGCTCCAAAAGCAGCTTCAACTTCACTTACAGGTTCAGCCCCCAAGCGGGGCAGAGTTGCTGCACCAAAGCCAAAGCACCAGAACCTCAAGGCTACAATTGGGAATGCTGGTGGCAGGAAGCGCAAGGCGGAGAAGGTGATTGAGATCGGCATCGGCGGAGGTGATGCTGTTGATGGCAGTGAGTTTAGTGACCTGAACCCGGCTGACAAGGAAATTGTTACCAACTATGCTGACAAACTCAAGAAGCTGCGTGATGTGAATCCTCCTTTGTCTGAGCCACAGTTCAAGAGCAACATCCAAGAGTTGCTGAATGAATGCCACACTTTCTTGAATGATCTCAAGACAAAAAAACGCTCGGCACAAAGACGAAGCAATGCTGAAGATCCATTGGTGCACGCATTGGAGTCTCTGGAAGAGCAAACGAACGAGCATGTCAAGATCTTGAAATGTGTCTCGATAGATGGAGTAGTTGTTTGTATAATGTTTTTTATTTTAAGTTTTTTGCCTTTTTTTTTTTGGGGGGGGGGGTGGTTTCTTTGAAGGTAGCACCATTTGGTCGTGTGACAGTAAGGTGTGCAGGGCTCAGCACAGGTTGACACAACGACATCACTGATAGCGATGATCGATGACGCAGCAGACCAACATGGCTCGCAATTCAATCACGTGGTGATCCGCAAAGCGCTGAAGCATTTGGTGAATCAAGATGTGCAACTAGCTGATTGGGACAGACTCACTACTTCCACAAAGAACACAATTGACTCGCGCTTTCAAGTTGGCCCAGACAATGTGACTGGTGATGCTTTCTACAAGATCTTGATGACTCAGACCTTCCAAAAGCTTATCAAGCTGGCATCTTCCAAGTTCAAGCACAAGGACATTTGAATCGATTGCTAGTGATAAATCGGCAACACTCTGGTGATATTATATAAATATAAATATCAATATCAGTATTAGTATCAATTGAAATCAGCTAATATTAAATTGTCAACTATTGTTGTAGTTGTTGTTCAGTGCTGTCCGTCCATGTGTTGACTATCATTTTTCATAGGAGTCTGCTTTTTGTGCAGCCAACAAGCTGGCTATGGAATCCACGAGCGCTTTCTTGACAACACTACACTCAGCCTCTACAACACCAGAGGTGCTCAAGAAAGATATTGGATATATTCTTTTGGTCTTGGGAGCAGATGTCGGAGACGTCTTGGAGGTCACCAACGCTGTGCAAGTGGTTGAGTCGATAAAGCGTTCCAAAGATCAGAGTTTTGTCCTCTTTAGTATTGTGTTGTGTGTTGGTTGTAGGTTGTATAGTTGTTTCATTTTATGTTTTTTTGTTCTCAATGTCAAATGTTTGATATCAAAAAACACCAACCAACAACCTATGACTCTGACTTGTGACACCTTAGGATTGAAGCTCTTTCCATGACATTCAGCTTACTTAGCATTCCGTTGGGCACGAAGTTTCTCAAGGAAGCGAAGGAATCATTGGACGACAGGAAGCAGAATTTCACTGAGGCTGAAGAACTTGAGTCCAAACTTTTGAAGATGCAGGAGATTTGTCTCAAGGATGATGCTTCACTCTTGGCATTGAGCCTTGCTGTTGTTTATGTATGTATATGGTTTTAGCTAATTGTAGTATTTGTATACTACTACTAACAATCATATTTAGTCTTTTAAACTATACACAATTAGAAATAGTTATTCTTATATGTTTGATTGCTATTTAAACGTAAACAATTTGTATGTCTAAACTTTGATTGCTTAGGTCGAAGCTGCTTGGACCATTGCACGATCTGATTGGCCAAATTGTGTCCAACAACAAACTTGCAAAAGCTGTTGGAATCGATGTCATCAAGGCCAAGCAAGACAAGCTGAGCGCACATTCCATTGATGCGATTGTCTTCTATTTGCAGCATCAGGCCCCCCAAAAAAAAGAACATTAAACATGTCAGGTAGAGTGCAAAAAAAAGGTATTGCTTTTATTGTGATGTGTAAAACATATGTTTAATGTTTCTTAGGCAACAAACGACACACACACACATTGCGTTTTTTTATTTTGTCACCTCAGGTGCTACCTTGGCTGGACAAGGCGATTGATGCTGCCAGAGATGTGGGCGCTATTCCAGAGGCTGATGTGATATCCAAGTGGGATGTGACTCGAGAGCTATCTGGCATTGAATCCTTCAAACCTGTGATGGAGCTCATCACCCTCATTGGTCTGATTGGCAAAGATATCACCTATATCAGAGGTGGTGCCTCATCTGACATGGGTCAGCTGCACAAACGCATTCACGATGACTATCAAACAAGCTTGAAGAAGCTTCAGGACCGACTCTTTTGCTTTCATCACATGGAATGTACATGTGTTTTATGTATGTGTATTTGTATTTTAACTGTTAACTATGTATATATATATATTAACAAAAAAGCTTATGTCTTACATAGGTTACATAACTATATTATATTATCATTGATCAAACATTTTCAGTGGTTGAGCTCCATTGCAGGACAAGGTTCTGGATTTGTGCACCAATGTCTCTGGACTACCATCTACAGACCTGAATCCTCCAATCATTAAACATCGCTTCCAAATGTTGTCCGCACAATTGCAAGGTGCTGAGAACCGGTTGATCAAGGTGTCAATGAAGCCATTTCGTAAGATCGTTGGCAGTTTCTTGAAGTCAATGATGCCCCTCATTGGCATGACCGATCAAGCGCAGCACGATCCGCTCGACTTCACTGAAGCCATCGACAAGTGTGAGCAAATCAGTCTTCGCAGTGTTTGCTTGCCTTTGATGGATTCAGATCGACAATTGGGTGTTGCTTCTACCAAAGTTGTTCAGGAATTGCTTGAACTAGGACAGGCAATTCAAATAGATAAAAAATACAACACAACATAACAAACATATATGCATACACGCACTAACTTGAACGATATGTTATGTCAAGTTATGTTCAAAGTTTGTGTGTTATTTATATGTTTTTTTACTTGTTTGTTTTTCAACCTTTGCTACATGATACAAAAACCCTGAAGGACAACTGTATCAAGCGCTCAAGTTGCTTCTGCGTGACTATGATTCAGCAGATGAAGCTAAGGCTGCTGAGAAACGCAAAATGGTTGCATCTGTGGTCGTGAAGGAGATCAACATGCTAAAATTGCTGACCACCGATAACAACATGCCATTGAATGACATCGCCATGTTTCTTTCAAGTGATGATGCTGCAATTGAGTTTGCCGATGTTACGACAATCATTGCAAGCAATCATGAATACTCAATGAAGGAGATGAAATTTGATTTGTCTGCGCAGGACTGGTGTGCGAAAATATTGTGTGTGAAGTTAGCATCAACATATGTATCAAATCTTGAGAGTTAGCAATGAGTCTTGAGTCTAAGAATCAAATCTTGAAATATCAATTATCAAAATCTTGAGATCAACAAAGTTGCCCCTTGTCAGGTGGATTCTTTGGGAAGACTTGTTCAGAAGGATACAACGCTTGCATTTCCTCAAGCATCATCTTTGGAACTATCTGGAGAAGATGGCAATGAGAAGCTCAAACTCACAGACATCAAAGAGCTTTCTTCTCTTGATGTGCGTGCATTGGGAGACGTGTCAAAGCAGTTGCAAGTTGCTGTGAAGTCAGCAAAAGAGCCTCAGTCTATGTCTATGTCTATGTGTGGTTGAACACATCAAATGTTTATGCAAATATATATGTTTATGTTAAAGTCACAATTAAATATATATATATATTTTACTATTTGTTTTGTATAGTGTTCATGGCGTGCTTAAACTTCTCAGGACTGCATGTCGTTGATTGCCAGCGTCACTGATGTCAGTGAATTGGCTGAACTGGTTTCAAAGGCGGCCTGGTACGCACGTCAGTGTACAAGTAAACTAATATAATCTATTCAGTACTGAATATTATGATTCTAATTGACTGAGATGTCATTTGCGTTAGCCTTTGGACTTGATGTGTTCGATCAACAAATCATATGTCATTGTCACCAACTTGTTGTTTAAGGCAGATGCGGCATACCACAACCAAGTTTCTTTGCTGGCCATAGTCACGGTGATGAACATTATTTGCAGCAAGCGTTGGCAAAAGGCAGTGAATGGTAATTCAGATCCTCCTGAGAATCTCAAGGTTGAGTTGCGAAAAGCAATGACAACATCAAGGGATCTCGGTTTGTCGATGCCTGCCAAGTTGCAGGCAGTGGCTGCAAAGTACTGCGGTGTCAATTGATGGCTAATTGATTATTGTTTGTAGTCGCTCTAGTTAGTAGTTTGTAGGTATACACTTACACTTACAAACAGTCGATGTTGATGCCGTTACTGTTGTTGATGAACCAGCATGTGTATTTCATTCTTAAGTCAAGTCTTAGAATCTTATATAAACATATTGAAATATATGTTAGCTGTTTATTCATGGAGCTAATATCAAATAATTGACTCCGCCAGCAGCTGAGCAGTTTTTGTGCATTGTGTGTCCTGTTTTGGTGTGCTGTGCAACCAATGCCGCGCCAGCCATTTCTTTAATTGTTCTTTTATTGACATCCAGCCACTAGACTGCTGGACTGACGGTGGTTTCAAGTTATTTTTGTTTAGCCCATCTTTGCAATATGTCGAACTATTCGACTCATCATGCACTCGGGGTATATGGCTTGCCAGTTTAGAGTATGTGTGTCAACTGTCATGTCCTGTGAAGCGAGCGATATTTGATTTCTCACATCAACTTTTTGTTTTGTCATTTTGTGTAGTAGTTTGTACCATATAATAGTCTTGAGCTGTCTAGCTAATGTTCTCCTGGCGGGCTGCTGCAGGCAACTGACGGTTGTTGACTCCTGGCAAGCTTTTGCAACCTAATTCAGAGAACAGGTCTGATTTAAATAAATTCAATGACAGATTGGATCTCTCAGTGCAGTTCGAGGCACATAGGCCTTGTGATTAGATTATCTTGGGACACACTACAAGACCGGGATTCAAGCTTTGCTGATCCCAACAAGAAGGTAAGCGTGAAATTGGAAATAGAATGCAAACACCGTCATTTGAGAATCAAGTCTTTGGTAAGTTTGAATGATGGATTGATTTGTGAAACAACCATGTTGATTTATTTGTTTGGGGATGGCTCAGATTGTCATAGTGACTGAATGAGATTAGCATTTATAACTAACTATACACATATGAACATGTGCAAGAACTCACATGTTGATACATGTTGCATTGAATTGTTTGCACAACCTTCAGCATTTGGTACTTGGATTCCATCATGCCGAAGCGAGAACCAAGACCAAAGCCAAAGGCGGTGGCGAAGGCAAAGTCGATTTTTCCACCGGCAACACCGAAGGCCAAGCCAAAGGCATCACCGAAGCCTAAGTCTTCACCTGCGCCGCCGCCAGATACTATCACCCAGCCAAAGAAGAGAGCTAGGAAAAACGCAGCCAATGATGACGGGCTGCCCATTCTTTCATCACAGGAACAAGAACAATACAAGAATCAATGGAAGAAGTTCCTAGTATTTTGGATGTGTTTGATTCATTGGTGACTGACCCTTTTCTGGTTTGGTGGGTTTGATTAGATTCAGATTAGATCTTATAGTCTTATAGTAGTTTAAGTTTTAACTTTTAACTTTTTAATTAAAAACATAATTTGCTTGTTGCTTCAGCCAATCAATCTCTTCTGAGGCACCCAAAGGTGATGGGACCGATCATGATCATGATCAGCAACATACTACAGCTGATGGTGCTTCTTCAGCTTCAGCATCAGTGCCGTCAGATGTTGCTATGAATCCTGATGCTGTGGTGAGGGCACAGTCAGTCACCACTGATGCTACACGTGTGCATGACACTAGCGCTGTACATGAAGATGAAGATGCCGCAGAAACAATTCCTCCTACTCAGATTGAGGTTGAGATTCACGCAGCTCCAGCAGCTGAGGCTGAAACTACTTCCACATCGCCAGATGCTATGGCGGGCACACGGTCAGTCGATGCTACACGTGTTCATGACACTAGCGCTGTACATGGAGATGCCGCAGAACTAGTTCCTCCTACCCAGATTGATGTTGAGATTCGTGCAGCTCCAGCAGCTGAAGCTACTTTCACACCGCCAAATGCTGCTGAGGCTGAAACCGTTCCTACTCAGATTGACTCAGCAGCAGTTGAAGTTGCTTTCACGCAGCCAGAAGCTGCCCAGGCTGAGACTGGAGATGATTTGCAACATACAGAGACAGCTACTGAGGAAGAGCCCAAGCAGTTTGCCACACCAAATGAAGCTGAGGCTGAGACCAATGAGAAGACTCTAGACGACAACATTGACAAGGAATCGCTCACTACTGCTTTGGAAAAGCAACTGGACATGATGCAGGATTGACTGACTGGACACATTGTTGAACTATCTAGTTTAATTTTAATAATCAATTATGTAATATGAATATGTATAGATTTTATAACTTATAACTGTTGCAGCTGTTAAATTTGACAACTGGCAACTAGATACATATATATATAAACTTTAAACCAACAACTACTACTATTACTATTATCATTTTTAGTTTCTACCAGCTTCAATGGCAACCAATAGCAAACGATTCCAACTACATATATATAGTATTTTTGTATATTTCTTTGTTTGGGCATTTCAGCTTACAAAAGAATCAACTGGCATTCTCTGGCAGGAAGATATCCAGTCTATTTCAGATGCTGATCGTGAATTGAACGAGGCATTGCAAGCAGCGTTTGACCATCCAAGACTTCAAGAGTATATACAATTCTATCGTGACCAAGATGGCTTGACTGAGGAAGAGTGGGTCTTCGGTAGTTTCAAGTTGTCTGAGCCTTGGGAGGATGTCCACTCGTTCAACAGCTGGTTGGCCAACAACAATGGCTCCGATCCACAAAGCACTGGCTTGTCTTCGGGAAAGCTGAATTTCAAGTTTGAAGTGTCAGATGTGATTGGTAGTGCTTCCAAGGCCAGCTATGTTATGTCATGTCACATCACACTGTACTTCAAACACCACAAGACTCATAGTTGGCGAAACAAAATTGTTAAATTGTTCAACAATATCTACTTCTAGCGTTGTGGGTCCAGTTGCCTATACATGATAACAAGTGATTTTGAATGTTAAACATTGAAAGAGTCATTGTCACAGGTCATGTTGCAGAAGGCTTTGAACAAGGATGGGTCGCAATTGGCAGCGAAAATCCGTGCATTGCCTCGCGACTTCACTGTAGGCGACTATTTCACTGGCTCTGGAGCATTTAGCAAAGTTGTTGATGGACTATTTCAGGCATTGATGGAATTCTTTCCTCAAGAGACTTCGGACTTGACGGTTCCTAAACATGTTAAGTATATTTTTTATTTGTTGCCAAGTACTTCTTGAAAGTGCTTCCTTTCTACATTGAACATTGAAAACTAAACATCCCTTTGGGGAAGTTGGCAAACTGCAGATGACATCCCAAGGTACAACACCAGTTCATGGCAGAAGTATCACCAGTGAAACAACGCTTTCTATTGAATGCATTTTCCCACCTTCCAGATTGCTGCCTGTATTCAGATGCCAAGAAGGTGTTCACAGACGACAGAGCTTGCCTGAAACATGGCAATCAAGCTTGTGTGCCTTGGAAAACATGAACATATTGGATTAGTATTTTAGTTTTAATTTATATGTATAGTATAGTAATGAAGCGATTAAATATTTACACAAATCAACCAGAGCGGTTTGACTTGTCAGGATGTGCCTGATTATTTGGTGTGCTTCAATGGAGGCTTTTCTTGCAAATCATTCTCAAAGTTGAACAATGACTACGAAGCCTACAAGCGCGCAATGGTGGACGAAATGGAGGATATAAGTTTGAAAGTTTGAATTGAACATGGATTTGAAGTTTGAAGTCCAATGTATGCTTTAATCTTCAAATCATAAATTAACATTTAAGTTGATTAAAACATGTACAGAGTCAACTGAACTATATTTGTTACAGTCTATATGTTTTTTAAATAGTAAATAAAAATGTCAACTTGTGATCGTTTTTGTTGTTGTTGTTGTTGGTGGTGGTGGTGGTGTGTTAAACTGTTAAACTTAAATAATCTTTATGGCGTTGCCAGGATTCATCTTCCTTTGCTACTTTCAGATGTGTGATCGAAGCGTTGTCCAATATCATTACAGATTTCTTCATTTTGGAGAATGTAGATCTAGAAGAAGGAGGTCCAGACAGCGGTGATGCAACCAACTTGGATCTGATTCTTCGTGCTTTGAGTGACGCAGGGGATGGCTTCCATGTCAGAGCCTATCGATTGATTAGCTCTGACTTTGCACTTCCTCAGCGTAGAGTGCGCTTATACATTGTTGGCTTCAGCAAGGTAAGGCAGGGTCAGGCATCGTTCGCCAACGTGGAAGCCAACTTGGAACTTTTCAGAATTCAACCGTGTCCGCATCCTGACATTTGGTTGCACGGTGCACATTTCAAGACTATATATTACTGTTACTTGTATTTTTTTAACTTACAATATGCAAAGACATTGATTATTGATTCATTGATTCTTTGTGCTTGTTGTTTGATGCTTCTGAGATATAAAGTCTATATGTATTGGAGTGAAGGTGTTTATATTGTATTTGCAAGCGAGTGTTCTTGAGTGTTGTGAATTCATTCACTCCGCAAACACAACTAAGTAGTTAGACAATGTATTTGTATGATTTGTGTTTATGAGTTATGAGATATGTAAATGTATTGTCTTGACTTTTGACGTTGGAGATACAATATTCTGAACTATGTGTTGCGCTGTGATTATTCATTATTTGATGATTAATTAATGTACAACATTATACAACTATCGACTATCGCATGTGTGTTGGTTTCTTTGTCCGGTATAGTTGTTAGCTGCCATAACTTAATTGCAAGTTGTTTGATTGCCCTATACCGTTCCGCACTGGATTAATGAAGTTTGATGAATGAGAAAATGTATATAGTATAAACTAAATAAACCACTATAAACACGAACAGCCCAATTCAACTAGTTGAGTTGAGACTGCTCAAACACTATTGTACAATGTAAATTGTAAACTATATGTGGTTTGGAACTTAGGGCTACAAAACAAAACATTAACAGTCAAGAGGCCACGCACGCGGCTCATATGCGTAAGCCACTGATGCCAGCAAAGCTTTTCTAACTGTTTCTAACCGATAGCCAGTTGAGGTATTGCAGAGCGAGCTTGTGAGCAAGTGACTTTTAGAATATATAATATAATGTCGTCTGAAACTTGAAACTTAAGTTAAGGCTACAAAAGATGAACATGGAACATGTCAAGCTGCCACATATGCGTAAGCCACTGATGCCAGTAAAGCTCATAGCCGTCGTAGCCAGTTGATATAGTGCAGAGCAAGCTTGTGAGCCAGTGACTTTGTTTTTTTTGTTGGTCGGATTCTATCTAAGGATGAATTCTTTCTGCCAGATGACCATGTTTCTGTCCAAGATGAGTTGGAGAAACGTCTTAGTCACCGAGCACGTATTGAATCAAAGGACAAGGACACGACTGAGAAAAAGAAGTCCAAAAAACACGCAGGTACTCCTCCAGGTGGTGCAAATGCTGCGCTTGATTCCAACGTCGTCATCAAGGAGAAAGAGAGCACAAAGTGGCAAACAACTCATCAAGATTTGGCCAAAACACGTGTCTAGTCCATTATTAACAACTATTAACATTCACCAAAAAACACATTGAAATTGAAATTGAAAGCTTAAAGTTTGTAAGAACTTGATTGAAACTACAAGAAACATTTGGTAGGTGAAGTAGGTGTGTATGGACTTTTGAGGTTACAGTAAAGTTTTGATACTCATCTATCCAAACTTTGGGTTGACAAACACAGGTGGCATTCAATGGCCATTGGTGGTGCCAGACGATGAAATACAAGCTTGGTTCTCTACGCTGTCTCCGCGCGAGCAAGAGGCAACATGTTTGACTTGATGACTTGACTAGACCACCAAATTCAACCAGAATAGTTTGCTCAGTGCATTCTATGCCCAGGTGTACTTGTTTGTTCTGAACGAGCAAAAGACTCTGAGCGAGAGTGGGTCGCCTTCCATTGGATATGCTGACCTGCTACATAGTGCGAACAGAACAGCTGTGAGTGGCGAAGAAGTTTCTTGACAAATTTACATATGTCATTTGTTGTCAGTTTGGAGTGTGGAGAGGTATGATGAGTCGAACCAAATCTATTTGGACAATGGACAAATCATGTTTATGTTTTTGAGGTGCTGCCAACAATACTTCCATCATCCAGAATGATGCACATGCGGCGGAAACGTTTGCTCTTAGGTGCAGCTGAGAGTTGAGATTGTTGAGCTTCGATATCGATAATATCGACAAATATGAATCTGAATGAACTCAGTATATAATATTAAGCAAACAAACCGTTCTTGATTATTATTGATGGCTCTACTATGTAGTTCCACATTCTGGCAGGCCGTGAATTGCTTGAGATTCAAGGGCTGCAATATCCAAAGCAGATCTTGGATAATTTTTCAGAAAACCAACTTACAGACATAGCAGGCAACGGGCATCTTGTCACTGTCACTAACCTAACCTACTATTACTAGCTTTGTAGACTCTGGATTATAGATGCTCAAGAAAAATCGTAGAATCGCACAATCTGTATCATCACTTGTTGAAACATGTTGAAAGCACTAAACGTCTAAGGTACAGCTCGACAGTATGCCTGGCTGTCTTCACCGCCAGTTTGATGGAATTGTCATATTCCACCGCCAGCGAGTCAGAAGAGGAGGATGCAATTTCCAATTTGGTAGATCAGTTTCTTGAATCAATTAGAGAAGTTGAAAACTCAGTTGATTTTGAATTGAATTGAATTCACTTAAACTTTCTTTTTGAACTTGCAAAATGAATCTGAAATGACTATCAGCCTCGGTTGGGAGACTTAACCCTCAGGCTGGCGAATCATGCAGCGTGATTCGAGATAGTGCAAATTGGAATCCAGTTGCTTTGATTTTCTTAGCAACTGCGAGCTGGGTGAAGAATTGTCTGCTTAGCAGATGCTGTGATAGTACAGTGCAAAATCTGAAGTCAACAGGACTCGAAAGACCAGCACTGGTGAACCGATCACCTTTGCGATGGAAAAAGGTTTGCTGCTACATCAGCTTTGCAAATTTGCAAATCATGAATCAGTACAATATCGTGCAACCGCACGACACACCGTACAACTGAATCGTACACACCGTACAACTGAGCCGTACAACCGCACGACTGAACCGTACAACTGCACGTCACATCGTACAACTGTACCGTACAATCGTTCACACTCATTGTACGAGTCGATCGTTCATCTTTTAACTATTCTACCAGAGCCACCAGCACATGGCTCTTGAATCTAGCTAACAAATAATGATGCTTGAGGCCCGCTACAGAGACTGTTCCTTTTTCCTGAGGTCTCTAAGCCATCGTTTGGGTATACTCGCATCAATATTGGATAAACATAGGTTGCTACAGCCCAAATCGGTTTACAGAGTAATCATTGGCCGCCCACAATAAATAGAGATCAAAGCAATATGTAGTGAAACATCGAAAGGAAAAGGGGGCACAGAATATAAGAGAAAGACAAGAAGAAGAAACTCGAGTGTTTGCAAAGGAACCAATGCAGGCAAAAGGATTGGACACGCCTGAGATCGCCTGGGAATATGTACCTTGATCGCCCGATGGCTCCACTCAGACTGCTTGAATGTCTAGTTTTGACAACATCAACTGGTTTTGCAATCACCAAAACCAATGATGACTGACACACTGATGAACAGCACGGGTGAATACGTTGATCAAGAAAAATGTAATCCTGGTGTAGTAAGGTAGAGTCATAGCCAACTGGTCAAGTGTTGTAGTCGTGTAGAGTGTCAAGACTCTAAGACTTCCGCTCAGCAGGATACTTGTGGGGAAGCATGGCAGCTGCCTATGAGAAGGGCGACCGAGAGTTCTGTGGATTGAAGCTCCCAGAGGGGTCGGGAGACTTGACCACCTGGGAAGTGCGGCAAGGGGTGGTGATCCCTTTTGACTTAGAAATCTTCAACACTCCAGTCGTTTACAAGTGTTTGGGGCTCAAACTAGTCAATTTCAAGAATGTGTTGTCTTTTCATTTCATTGAGAATGGTAAAATAATGCGAAGAACTGAACCCTCCCATAGAGACGGATGGAGGCCTCACATTGGAACAAAGCAATGAGTCATCCAGGCACTCCGGCAAAACAGCCATCGTAAGACCTATGCAAGCCCGATTCCATCAATGGACAGAACTTTGTTGTCAGGAACATTCATGTGTGGGCTTTTTGTCTAGGCTTTTCCAGACGAGAACGAACTCCTAGATTGCTCCCAGGCTGATCCGATTTCAGAAGCTCGACAAGCCGATCTTCACACCAACCACCAAGGCGGAAGTAGGCAGGACTCCAGGGCAATGAAAAGTGGAAAAGCGACGGGTCCCAAGCAAAATGAATGCATTGCAAAGCTACTGCACCTGCTGACTTAAAGTGGATGAGAAATGACTGGTTGCAGGCCATGACGAGAACATGAGCATGGAGGACATGGAGAAGCTTCTGGGCCAATTGCCCCAGATCTGGCGTTCAGTGAGGGGAGCTTGCAGGCAATCAGTGGTTACTTGATGTTAATTGTGTGTGTGTAGAAACCCTCCTCCAGCGACATATGACATGTTTTGCAAGTACCCTCTTTTGTATCTTTTGTGAAGCCCAACAAGTGTGGGAACCCATACAGTTTGGGAGAAGATCCACGAGCAGAAATTCCTGAGGCAAAGAGCTGGCTCAGAAGGCCATGGACGCCGCCATGAAGCTTTTCCAGAGAGGCGTGTTCAGCCAAGAAGCAACGTCACGCCTTTAACAGTGAAGCGGCCAGATGCACGTTGCAAGTGGGGATGTGCAACGGATGATGTGATGTGTTTAATGTACAAGAATGAGAGCCTAGATTGAAAAACGCAATGCATGTGCAAGAGATGCCTCATCTACTTGATGATGAGTTGCTAGTTCTCAGCTCTTACAAAAGAGACCCTTTTCATGATGCAGTGGCGAGCTTCTTTTGCAGGAACTGAGCTCATGAAGAAACGAGGGCTGATTCTTTTGGCCCTCCTGGCATGTTTCTAGTGTATCGAATCGGTGATCCCCCCTCTTGACTTGGTCAACAGCTGGCCTGACACCAAATCTCAAGTTGTTGGACTCTTTGTTTGGAGAAGACGTTTAGACAGTTACACTTAGTGGCATGGGTTAGATCCATGGTTCTCAATGGATCCTTTTTGGATCTTTTTGGGACATGAAACGAGGAGAAAGCAACAGCGCCAGAAGGGTTGCTTGGATGTGCATTGTTGCACCAAGTCTGTCCATGCAAAGTCCATTCATGCCTTCATGTCGGGGCCACTGTTGTCTTGGGACAGAAATCTCGAAGAGTTAGACTTGCTGTGCGATTTCCTGGGAGGGTCACTCATTTCAGTTGGTTGTACCAGAGTTGATTCTTGTCGCATTACCCGCCAGGATACAAAGTACGAGTTCGGGGTGGACGAGAAGGGCGTGATCCATGTGATTGATGAGGCTGGGGCATCACCCAGCGTTGCAGTCAGGGGAGTGTAGATGAACCGTAGTTGAAGACTGATCAGGCGCATCAGGCGTGCCTCCCTGAATTGGTGAGCCCCATTGATTTTTCTATGATAGAGATCGGTTTGGGTGTGTCAGGAATACTAATACTGTGTGGACCAAGAATATTTGATTGAGGACAGGCATCAGACAAGTCTTGTAACTTTGCCATTTGTCAGACATTGTAAGAGTGTTCGAGCATGTTTGTAGCGCGGATTCAATAAATGTGAATGCACCCGGTCTGCACCCGGTCTGTTCACTGTTTGTTCCGGTCAGGTCAACACACCGGATTCATCCAGAATGTGCACCATCGAGGACTGACATCAAGTCTTTGGGTGTACAGCGGTTGACCTGAAAGACTGAAGAAACCGCACTGAGAGCCGCTGAGCTATGGCGTTTTGGGGCATGTTGTCCGTGGTGCTCGTTCCATGTCCAGGAGTACGAAGCCAAATACCCAAAGATCGCAGCAGAGATGAAGAAGGGCGAGTGCCCTTGCCAACGAGGATTATAGCATTTTGTCGATTTGACAGATGGGTTCATGGAGTTCATGGAAATCCGACTGGTGTCCTGTCTGGAGTGTCTGACCTTGACCCCTAAAAGCCACAAACGCTTGAACAAAGTCGTGGGTGGCTCAGGTACAAGACGGTGACTGACCTTTTGAAAGCAAAGCCAGAGTTGAAGATGAAGGAGTTCTCCAAGCAGTATGCAGGGAGGCCAAGTGGGTCGCACCACCGCCAATTGTCAGGGGATGTTTAGGAATACACGGCTAACACTGAAACTAAAGTTGAAGCTCAAAATAAGCTCTCCCAATCTCCCTAAAATAAAGAGAAATCTCCCAACCGAACCACACAGTTTTCATGGGGCTTGCAACTCGGAGATGTGAAGTAACAGTGCTCATATCCAGAACTGCTGGAGGCCAGCAGTCCTACAGTGTTGAGCAGCACAGGTTCTTTGCAAACAGTAGGACGGAGTCGGTATGTGTAGATTGGACGGAGTTTGGCATCCCAATGTTCTACTATGCTCCAGCAATATTGACAATATTGTCAGTATGTTCCATTCTCTTCCGGAAGTTCTGCTGAAGGCCGCTAGCCGGTAGGAACTATCCTCTCTTCGCTGCCTTGGCTGCTGAGGTCAGAGATGCTTTGTTGGACATGGGCTTTGACCCTACCAAGGTCAGCTTGGGAGCCTTTCAATGTGCGTTTGCTCGTAGCAGTTCATAAGAACTATCAACAAAAACAATCAAAAACAAGTGAATACGAGCGCAAATGGTAGATACAGTACTACATGGTAGTACTTTTAAGATTGTCCAACTCTTGCGATTTGTATGGACAGCAGTTGAGGAAGGGTGCAGTTCTTTGCTTTTTGCTTGGACTGATAAACTCCATTTGTTTTGCTGGATAGACACTGCATGGTTCAAAGTCGGCGGCCATTCGGTGGCACCATTTCGAGCGCTGAGAGCTTCGCATGCGATACAAACCGAGTTTGCTTGTGGGCCTGTGTTTGTTGGCCCTGCCCGTGGCCTATGTGCCTGCATGGTGGCGCCAAGGATGGCCTCGAGGAAGAGTGGGGAGTTTAGCAGAAGCCGAGTTGTTATCACAGCTGGCAGTTCTGCTGATGCCACGCACTGATATTTGGGAGCTCTTCCGGAGCTTTCCAGCAACTGAAGGGTGGAGTGGATACAGTTTTCAGCCGGACTTGGCAGCTCATGGGGTTTTGAGAGATAGAAACGCTGCGATTTTTGTGGAATATGATGGGTTCTGGAGGCACGGGGAAACGGAGGGTATAGCAAAGGACCAGCAGAAAAATGCTGCTTTGTTGGCATATGCTCCAGTGGGATCGCTTGTTGTGCGCATCAGTCACACTGTCAGCAAGCCATGTTTGCAAGGGCACGTCCTATGGATCAGAGTGGATCCTTGGCGTCAAGGAGAAGAGCGCTCACTTGCAAAAGCCTTGCACCGCGTCCTTGCACAAATGGTCGCTTGCAAGCGGCTGCGAGATGCCCTGCGCCCAAGTGTTTTCAAGCAGATTCAGGGTCACATACAGAACGATTCAGTGTCGATGTTGCATGAGAACGGCAAGAAGTGTGCATTGGAAGCAGCAATATTAGTAGCAAGAAATTCTACTGAAGAGGTTTCTCAGTACCCTGAGACTGAAGGCTTTTGCTTAGAGGACTTAAACTCGCTAAAAACAGGTATATTGTCGCACACCCAATCCATTGAAGGACAATTGAAACCGAAAATACGATGGCTGCTGGAATTGGGCCTTAGCAAGAGGCAAGTTGCAAAGGCAGT